GGCAACAGATGGTGTTGGCTACTTGTTCTCAGAAGTGGTGCTAGGTACTCCTGGTCCAAGGACCTGTAATAGATCATTGTGTGCCCTGAACTAGTTGAATGGCCACAGGATGATGCATGTGGCTATGTCCATCTGTCCACAGTGTGCACCATCCACATCATGTCTTCGTGGTGTATTAATCCAGCACAAGGCAGCGCTGTTCTGAGGAATACCACATCGACTCCAAGTCCAGAAGGAGTATAGATGTGGCAACACGGTGTGGGCGAATAAGCTGTGCTTCCCACTAACAAGTCAAGGCCCCATATGGTTTTTGCACTGCTGGTCAGCTTAGCCAAAGTGTTCATGGTAATTAGTAAGGTGGTTGTTTCCCTTCCATACAAAAAAGTTACTTTCTTCCTACTTCTAAGCAAAACAATTCAAATGGATTATTTTCCTTTTTGTAAACTATACTATATTTCTTAATAATACATATTCATTTATAAAATTTTTTTTAAATGACAGGCACATTTAGTGATTCATTATTTATCATCTTTTGTTACATGAACCTGCAAGCATTTACACATGTGAACATATCAGCTAAACTGAATCAAGTCTGTTCACATGCTTATACATATCAGTGTGTGTGTGCACGTGCGTGTGTGTATATGTTGCAATATGAGGGCTTTTGCATGCTTATTTACATGCTACTGTAATACACAAAATTTAGTAATTTGTAGTATATCTCCAAATTGTCAGCATCAAATAGAAAGATTCTATTGTAAATGGTAGAATTTGGTGCTCTTTAGGGGAAGTTCTTCAGAAAATCGAAGTGGCAAGCAAAGCAAAAACGTTTTGTTTCCCAAATGTCATAGATGTCCATACCCTAAAACTACAGAAGCAGAGGGAGAAAATAAAACCAAGAAATGCTTGTTTTGCTGTACTTCTGATTGTCTTTATTGATAACCAGCTGACATTGAATTTGTTTCCTCATCTTACAGCAGCAAAGAGCTTACTGAAGAAACCTGATGGAGTCAAGGTAGGTTAAACAAATGTACCAAGCTATACATCTCATTAAACCTTCTTTTCCATGTACCAACTTATTTGACTTCGGACTTTGGAAATAATTATTCCTTCTCTTTACAAGCCTGTTTAGAAATGGTTTTGACTGTATAATTAAAGCAGTTAAAGTGTTTTTTTTTTCCTTTTTTGATCTTTACAACTAAATGAATAGTTGGAAAACTCAGTCAATTTCCGTAAAGTTAGAAAAGAAAAATGGTGGATAAAGAATATTTTCCTACTTTTCTCAATCAAGGTCAATTTTGCCCTCAATGAATCAATGCTTTAATTAGTTTTCTAATATAAATAAACATTTGGCAGTGGGTGTGTTTGCTCTTTTTTGTTACTGGTGCTGAACTGCAGCTCTCCTGCCTTCCTGATTCCTTGACTTTCCATAAAGTAAAATGGAATATCATATTCCTTGAATTTTTGACACCACATGAGATGTATTCCACTAGGTGTACTGGGTGTGTTTGTCAGAAGTGAAGAGATTTAATATCTCAGCAAGTAAACTCATCCTCACTCACTAAGAACGGGAACATTTTGGCAGCTTTTGTAGATGATTTAGAGCTCATAGGAGCTCTTGTGTCACCAGGTCCTTCAGGAGGAGAGGTGCTTCACAAATGAGTGTCCTGGATAGATACTTTGAAAAACAGAATAAAAATCATTCAGCACCGAAAAAGAGTATACTTCTTTTTCTTAGAGAATGGCTGAAGACTAAATTAAACACCCCAACTTTTGTTACATAATGTAAAATTTCTTCTGGGTTCTGCCTGATTTCTTATGAGTGTATCTTTAAACCAAATTTTACCTTTCTACTTTAATTTCTTTTTAGCTGTAACAAAATGCTATTTACTTAACTACCTGATTCAGTGTAGGTTTGTCCTTTACAATCCAACACATATGCACCCTCTCCCCTACAAAAATTGTAAGACTGTTAGAATGAAGTCAATATACCATAACCTAAATGCTCTGCTATACAATGCTTTGTGGTATCAAATAATAGGCAGCTTATAGTAGTAGATTTATGTGAAGAAGCATATCATGCAGGCTAAATCAGTCATTTCAATAACAATTCTTTAATGTGTATTTTTGTGGAACATAGCTAGCTATTGCTTTTTAAATATTATTCCTTCCGCTGGTCAATAATGGTATATATTGTATCTCCATTTTGATAGCAATGTTGCAAACAGGTATTGCCAATGGTTTGCTTAAATTGCACTTGTTGATATCCAGTACTTCTGGATCATTTCATTTTTTCTTTTGTTTTCCTATGAAGTTATGTGAAGCAGTGGGGATGGATTTACCTGTGTGGACATCTTTGTTTTCAAATTCTTCTCATATAGAAACTATTTTCCCCCAAAAAAGTTTTCCCTACCCTTTCCGCAACTTAAGCCGTCTTTTTAAAAACAAAAAATATACTGTACTCCATGAATTGATACTTTCAATCCAACCAGTCACATTCTCTTCTTTTCCTTTCTCTCTGACTGGTCAATTCAGAAAAGGAAGTCAAGTTCGAGTGTTCAGATGATGGTGAGGATCTTTATCTGCCAGATTTTTTTCCTCCTGTGAAACGTTCACACCTAGAAATCAAATAGTTGCTGTTAAAATACTGTGGAAAAACTGCAAGACTTCTTAAGCACCAACTTCTGACTTCTAAACCCACAAGTGCTACTTACCATCCATAATCAACTTATTCTGCAACTCTAAAACAAAGATTTTTACCTGTGGACACATACATACAAAAAGTAGATGTAACAGTGATGAAGATAGTTGTCCTTAGTGTAAAAAATAAATGAGTCGTTTAAAACAGCCCTTCATTTATCATTTTAAGCTCCTCACATTAATAGTTGATTTTATTTAATATAATAAAATATAATATGGCTACATTATACACTGAACAGTTATTTATACATAAGCTTGAAAAAAATAGAAATTGCAGTACTTGGGAAATTGCCATTGACAGTGCCTTTACCTATACCATAGACATATATTTCAACATCTGGATTAAAAAAATATCTGGCTTCTTTAAGACAGGACTTCCTATTCTTTTCCTATTTATCTTTTCTTCGTAAAACAAAAATTACTACAAGAGCCAGATACACTTTTATAAATTCCAGGTTTAACTGAGCAGTACATAGGCCAATAAGGTAATTTTAAAATCCCTGCATTGTGTACCTTTTAGTTTTCTTTTTAAATTAAGTTTAACAAATGTACTTTAAAGCATGCCTTTCTTTCTGCTGGACATTGTATTTTTCAAGTGAATAATGCCTTTTTTTTCTAAATGTAGTTAGCATTATCATTTAATCAGACACTTGGGGACATCTATACATGTACTTTAATGCACAGTAGCCTATTTTAATGTGCATTAAAGCATCACTAAAAAAAGTGTTATTTAGCTCTAATGCTCATTAAAATAAGCTAATGCACATTAGACATCACTTAAAAACCATGTTCTTTAGTTAATGTGCATTAAGACAGGCTAAAGCACATTTTCCCAGTACTTCACAATGGAGGTACTAGATTTAATGTGTATTAACTAAAACATGTTAATCCACATGTAGACATACCCACTGACTACCTGGGTCACAGATCAAGATTTTATGCTACAAGCTAAGAACACGACAGATGTAAACCTTCTTTTCCTTGCTTCAGATCCCTAAAGAGCCTTCATCCTAAGGCAGAGCTTCATCCCAATGCTATTCCAACAAAATATCAATTTCTCCATTGCTTATTCCCCACCAGAGAATCAGTACAGTCTCCCTTCCACCTGACCTCAGGCAGGCAGGCATAGTTTCATAGTTTCATAGTTTTAGGGTCAGAAGGGACCTAATAGATCTTCTAGCCCGACCCCCCGCCAGGGCGGGAGAACAACAAAAAACCCTAAAAACAAAAACGGGACTCAAATGAGTCCAGCCAGGTAGGCATCCAGCCTCTTCTTAAAGACCCCCAGGGTAGGGGCCAGCACCACCTCCCTTGGAAGTTGGTTCCAGCTCCTAGCCGCCCTAACTGTGAAGTAGTTTTTTCGGATGTCCAGTCTGTACCTCCTCTCCATCAACTTGTGCCCATTACTCCTTGTTATGCCAGTGGGGGCTAGGGGAAACAGCGTCTCCCCCAAACCCTTCTGGTTCCCCCTAGTGAGTTTATAGACGGTCACCAGGTCCCCCCTCAGCCTTCTCTTGTGGAGGCTGAATAGGTTCAGGTCCCGCAGTCTCTCACTGTAGGGTCTGCCCTGTTGTCCCCGGATCATGCGGGTGGCCCTCCTCTGGACCCTCTCCATGTTGTCCACATCCCTCCTGAAATGGGGCGCACAGAACTGGACACAATACTCCAGCTGCGGCCTGACCAGCGTCGCATAGAGGGGGAGGATCACCTCCCTGGCTCTACTCGAGATGCACCTGTGGATGCACGACAAGGTCCGGTTAGCCCTGCCAACCATGACCTCGCATTGTCGGCCCATGTTCATCTTGGAGTCAATAATGACACCAAGATCCCTTTCCGCCTCCGTGCTCTCAAGTAGGGAGTTCCCCATCGTATAAGTGTGCTGCTGGTTCCTACTACCCAAGTGCAGCACCCTGCACTTGTCCGTATTGAAACACATCCTGTTCCTGTTTGCCCACCCCTGTAACCTATCCAGATCCTTCTGCAATCTCTCTCTCCCTGCTAGCGTGCTCACCTCCCCCCAAATTTTGGTGTCATCAGCGAATTTAAACAGGTTGCTTTCCACCCCAACATCAAGATCGCTGATGAAGAAATTGAACAGCGCAGGCCCCAGGACCGAGCCCTGGGGGACTCCACTACCCACCTCCCCCCAAGTCGAGTATGATCCATCCACCACCACCCTCTGAGTGCGACCCTTCAGCCAATCTGCAATCCATCTGACTGTGTAGGCATCTATGCCAGTGTCGCCTAGTTTATTAATTAGGATGGGGTGAGAGACGGTGTCAAAGGCCTTGCTGAAGTCCAGAAAGACTACATCCACCGCGACACCTGCGTCCATGGCCTTTGTGACCTGATCATAAAAGGCAATCAGGTTGGTCTGACATGATCTCCCCCTAATAAATCCATGCTGATTGCCCCTGAGCATCATTTCTGATGCCGGCCCATCACAAATGTGCTCCTTGATGATCTTCTCAAAGAGTTTCCCCAGGATTGAGGTAAGACTGACGGGCCTATAGTTGCCCGGGTCCTCTCTTTTCCCTTTCTTGAAGATGGGGACCACATTAGCTACCTTCCAAGGCAGCTACCACATTAGCTACCTTCCGAGGCAGTCAGCATTGTAGATTATTCCCACTGTGACACCCTAGCCCAGTTTTCTACTGTCAGCCCAGCCAGTGGGAAGTTAAATATTCCTTCCTTCCCAAACTTTTATTCTGCCAATAGCAAGCAAAACTCTCCCTAAAAAGCAGAATTGGTAGTCTGATTAATTAACTGTATCTTCTCCTAGCTGGACATTGTTTAGTGCAAAAGTATAGTTTGTTTTAGTGCAAGAAATACAGGTAATTTACCAGATGTTTTTATCATCCCAAACATCCTGTGTGCCTGCTCTTATCTCTTGCAGATAGACGGAGCCACATAGAAAGTTTGGAGGATTTAAATCCCAAGTCGTAATGTTATATAACTTTTAAAATATATGTAGAGACCATTAATGATCATGACTGTATGGCCATACCCAACTGCTTGGGAAAAGTAGAGGTATGTGTGTAGGTGTGTTTGCCTGTATTATTATGAAACTTAAAAGAGTGATTTTTGGCAGCCAATATTTTAATAGAAAATATTTTCCTTCTTTACAACAAATAGATGTACATTGAATTAGAATAGTTTCCAAAAGTTCGTTTAACTGTATGGCATGAAAAATCTATTTTTAATAGTTTCCCTTTTCTGTTAAAATAAATACAGTGTAGGCAGTTTAAAAAATAAAACCTATCATTTTTCATTAAGTTAAAAAATGGTTTACCAAGCTGTTCTGTAATGTGCATTATATTTTCTCTTTTTCACTTATACTAACCTAAATTGTGTATTCCTGATGTACCTCTAAGAGGTTTGATTGTATTTTCTGTACTTTTCAGCTATAGCTGGAATGAATGTTGTTTATTTTTGTAGAACTTGCACAAGGGAGTATGGGCACAATCCTGCTTTCCTTACTCAGGCAAAAACCTCATGGAAATGTGATTATCCTTTCTCACTGACACAGTCAACAATAAGCATTTGTTTAGCATGTTTGATTATTTTAACACTGAGTATACCGAGTTTGATACTGAGCCAGTATCATGTATGATGACGCCTTCATTCTCTCCATCCTGTGTTTTGTGTGCTCATTTTTTCATTTTTTCCTTGAGTGCTTCATTCTCTCTGGCCAGATTATCACTGGATACTCATGTTTAGTTGTACAGTCTAAAACTGGTATTTTCTGGGCATAGGAGAATAAGCATGGCATTGTGCAGAATTGTGTGTATTGTTGTTGTTCCATCACAAGCTATACGTCATGTTAATTTTAAAAGAGAGGCTTTCATTGAACTATATGCATTTTTCCTCTGAGTAAGGACTGCAGGGTTGGCTCTTATGGCAGTTTAAAAAATACTAAGGGAAGTAATTTTTTATATAAAACATCTGCCAATGTTTTCGCATGTGAAGATGGCCTCCTTAAATGAAATTTTTAAGGTGTTTTTTTTTCCCCCCTTCTTTTTTTGATTACATATCACAGGGTCCACTGCTGCTTCTGGCTGAAATCACATTAGCAAAAATGCACAGCTGTGAATTAATAAGTGAAACCTATTTGTCAGTTGACTCGTATAACATAGAGAATAAAATTAAACCATTGGAATCAGAACCAATCCTGTTGTTTTCCAATGACAGTTTCTGCAGAAAGAGACATTGAGAAAGACCAAGGTTCTGCTATAAGGTGTATTTAACTTTGATTGAAGTCAAGGAGAGTTATTTATATCCAGGATGGGAGACATAGTGTCCATTATTCATATATATAATTAGGATTTTCAGTGCAGTAGCATTATTTACGATTAGATAATTATTCCTCAGTTGACCCCTATAAGGTAGCTTGTCAAGGTAGCAGTGTAATTTACACCAATGGAATTCCAGTAAAGCACTTTTATTTAGGCAAGTCTTTTCTGAAGATACACTGCCTTCACAGGCATTAGTGTATCCCCACCCCCACTGCACCATTCTCTTAAGCATAAGTCACATCCCATCACAAGCCCCCTTTCTGAACCAGTATGCCTACATTTTGAATTTGAAGTCATTAGGTTTGTATTTTCTCCACCTGGACTTGCCCTAAGTATGGCTTTGGCTCTGCTGAAGATTTAATTCCAGCAATTAGTGGTCAGTCACTGTAGCTACACCAATGCAAACACTTATGGAAAAATCCTAGTGCTGTTAAATTCAGTAGGTTACCAGAGTTTCATCACTGCAACTATACCTATGAGTGGAATTTTAAAAAGCCCCAACATGCACAATGCCTAAACATTATCCCCATCTTCTAGACACTATGGATATGTATGCATAGCACAAAGGTAGCCTGAATGACTACCTTTTTCTAGCTCCAGAACTGGAAACAATGTAGCTGTGTTTGTGCAGCAATTTGCCTTGGCTAATTTGCTCTGTTAAGTCATTTAGCTAAGGCCATGGACTCAGAAAATTCTTGGCTCTCAGCCATGTGCTTGGACTATTAGTCCAGCTCAATCTCTTTCATTACATCCACTGATACATATTATTCAGGTCTTAAATCCTTTTATTTGAGTACTAGAAGGCTTATTAATAAAAAAATAAATACTCCCCAACTGGGGTCATCTGATCCCAGCAGTCTTTCCTGCCCAAGTGCAGGGGGGCTGAACCCGATGATCTGTAAGGTCCCTTCCAGCCCCTAACAACTATAAAAACTATCTCACTGAACCAAACTGACTTGAGTTTTGGGCTTTCAATGTAGTAGTTTAATGCTAAATTTTCACAAAACGCCTGTCAGTGAAAGAAGAGAAGTCTGGATTTTTGTTCATGGTTTTCTTTTTATACCCAATATTGTGACTATGGGGCTCACTGAAGATTCTGTATCCCTCTTTCTATCTTTGGTGGAAGGGCCACTATCCCTTTTTTGCAGATATTCAGTATGACATCCTCATTACATTTCACAAAATGAAACATATGCTTGTCTCATTTAAAGCACTAAATGGACAAATGGGAAAAAAAGCAAAGTCAATACATCTAGACACATTCCAACCCCAATTACACTCATTTAAATCTGGAATTACTCCACAGAGCCAATGAAGTAAATCTAGACTGCTGAAGCTGCTTTCTGTGAAAATCCAATTGATATGTAACCTCTAGTGACTGACACCTAGAAATAAAGTAAAATGTGGGTGTATTATTTAATACTGTTGCATAATTAGAAACTGGCAAATAAACCTCAATGGAAACTTTGGGGTTTTCGTTCTTAAACGCTGTATTAATTGTTTACTTTTGTTACTTGGTTTTAGCTAACTTTTAAAGACTAAGTTTATTTAAGTGTTACAGCTGAAACCATCTATGCTTTATATAAAACTTTCTAAATCAAAATACCATAACTAGCATGTTGGGAGAAACTGTAAGCAGTTATCAAATCTGTTACAAGTATTCCTTTCAAGTTCATAAGTTCATCTTTCTGTGATTCTTTATTTCCATATCTATATCTGTATATAGATATTCTATATAGAGAGATATAGATCAGTTAGCTACAAAGAGTTCTAAGGCTTGTCTATTTCTATTTTCTGCATACCTACAGATAAACAACAAAACCAACGTAGTAACCAGCCCCAAAGAAAATATTCCTACCCCAGCGCTGGTATACCTGGAATCTTCCTTTTCACTCTATCTTTAAGTTCTTTACTGTTTTCTGGGGTTTTTTCTTTGTTTGTTTCTCTTCCATTTTGCCCTCCTTTTTGTTGTTTGCTTACTAAATTTGGGAACAGGTTTTTTTTTCTTTTTGCTGTTTGAATTTTTGGTTTTCTTTCTGTAAGGAAGTCCATTGTGAAGTAGCGTGTTTATAAATACAAACGTGACATGGAAGCTGGCCGTGGTAGAGTGGTAGCACTAGTGGCCAACATAGTTGAATTTTTTGCATGCTGTGTCAGACAGTGAGTTGAATGCGCTTCACGTTGCCCTTAGCTCTTCACCTGATGATTATTTCAATATGTTTATTATTATTATTTCAATATGATGGGGAGGGGAAATCTCCTAATTTCTTTTTTACTGTATCTTAACACAAGTGTTGACATCAAGAAGAGCTAACAGAATTATTGCTAGGCGACAATAAAATAGACCTTATTCAGATTTTCATTCAGCACTCTCTGGAAACTCAGCAGATCTTTGCAAGCCTTCATTTACTGGGATCAAGAGGCACCTAGTCCTAAGGCTTTTTTGTACTGCTGTTACTCTTTAATCTATGGTAGGCATTACTCAGTAATAAATTCTGCAGGGAGCATATTACTGATCAGTAGAAAAGCATATGTGAATATTTATTACAGAATCTTGTTTCTGTTAGAAAGTTACATTTCTTAGGAATGTTGTATTTAGCAAACTTACACATATAAGAATAGTGGTTAATTACTTGAAGTTAAGAGTTACTGCTTCCCATGCATCTTGGTAAATAACTCTGGAAAATGTTTTTTATTTTTAATATATACATAGGGACTAATTTTCACCTTTAGATCTGCATATTCAGCTCCCCTGTCTGCATTGTTAAGTAATTTCCAAGAAGCAGCTTACAGGTGTATGGTGTGTAGCTGAGTCTTTGACTCAATAGCTATTGCCAGACACCTGCAGTGTATGGAACTGTCTCACTTGCTGTAAGCATGTTCCTAAGCCAACTATCTGGTGCTCTTATATGAATTACTCATAAGAAAAGAAAAATGGGTTAAATTTTAAAAATGCAGCAGGCACTTCCATCATAGGTGATCTAGGTTGTTTTAAAGGGATTACAAGTTGGAAGTCCTCCAAATACTTCCAAACACCATTTGTGTTTGGAGGTACCTAAATCTTGCTGTGTCCACTCAGCACACCTTTCTTTTTATTCATGCTCACTGTGGGTTTTAGTAGTTAACCAAACGATATTTTTAATGAAAATAGTGCAACATTCAACAAGTCCAACAAAAAGGGGCAGTGTATTTAATATGAGACATTGTGACACAGAGTGCCTCTTCAGATCTCCAGAGTTTCAAAGCCCTGCATGTATGTTGATCATGAATAAGGTCTTTGCATGCTGCTATAATAGGTAAAATGGCCTAACTTGCTGGCTTGCCAGTTGAGGAATCTTTATCAGAGACATTGTTTCATCCTCTGGCAGCAGTTAACATTTGCTTTAGCTCTTGTCACTGTTTTGCCTTTGTCAACTGGCTCTTCTTACACACCCTCACACGGATAAGAATGTGTTTACCAATGAGAACTGTTTTTCTCTTTATTTTGTTCTCACTCAGGAGCCCCAAACTACAGTAATCCACAACCCTGATGGAAATAAGGTATCAGAAAGAATCAATTCCATTTTGCTTTTCCAGACCCTACACATTTCATCCACGATTCTAAACCAGAACATGTGTGTTACCCAGAGTTTAACATTCCTGTATCTGTTGCACCTGGTGTCTCTTGGGCTTAATTCATTTCTAGCTTGTTCCTGCTGAGTGAATTCTCTCTGGTTGCTGAGCTCTGCAGCTCTTGCGAACATCAGTACAAGTTGAGGACACCCAGCAGTCTGTGAAACCAGGTCCACATGAGCACTGGGATATTGTGCTCGGATACAGAATGCAACAGAACGTTGTGCTATAACCCAGGAGAACAGTGAAATTATTTTTAAGGATTGTGTGAGAAGCTTTCACTAAAGATGAAGGCATATTTGCAGTTCTTTCCATCTGCTGTTTCCCAGCATGCTCGTACATCATACTGACATGTCTTCTGCATGGAACTATACTTCTTCCATAACATCATCTAGTTTCAAAAGAATTTTAACTCTTGAAGTGGCAAGATGCTCTTTTGAGTTGATGAACCTTGGTTTTTTTAATGCATTTTTCTCATGGATTTTCTTTTTTCTGTGCATTGTGATGGTTTTGTTGGGTAGTTGGTTTTTAATACCTGGTAACTTTGTTCTCTCTTGCCTAAACTTGAAAAAGGCCAGGGAATATCATAATATTTTACTCATGTTTCCAGTTTTTCCCATGCAGATTCCACTTTTTTAAAACAGATTTCAGTATATGCCATACTCTGAGGACTTAGAACATCTAAAGGATCATTGTCTCATTTATCTGCAGTAACTAGTTGTGGTTATTCAGTGCTGTATGTGTAAAGAATTAAGTCTTAATGAAAAGTAACACATGCAGACATTTCACAAGTATGAAGAACTATACTATTCATATTGTGCCTGTATCTCCCATTCATTTGTGGGCATATGAGAAGTATTGAAGTTCATTTTACTTTTAGGTCTAATACTGTATGTGTTCATGATCCATATTAAACCTCCCAAATTGTATTAATAGGCAGTATACAGCCTACATTTTAACTTCAGTTAAATCTTTACAAAAGCCAGCAAAATGGGAAAAAAATTAAACATTGAAACTCATTGGCATGACATCTACTTAATTTTATTATATGATCATAGTAATTTAAATACTGTATTTCCCAAAGTAATAACATAGACAAGAAAACCACTTTGGGGGAAAGTTACTGTCACATTCCATTACCTGCAAAAATAAATGTTCTAGCATGAAAACTGGAGTGGATGCTTCCATATTACAGGCTACCTCTTGTGTGAGCTTGTGCATGGTGTTTTTCAGCTTGTACATGTGTGGTTTTTATTTCTTCCAGGTACTATATATACATTTATAGAGCATGATATGTTCATTGCGTGGAGTGAAACGTCTAACTCATTAATGATGAATATTTATGGATGCACGCAATTTTTGTTCTAGAGTCTGAAGAATGCATTAACCATTTTGAAACTTTTCTTAGACACAGTCTTCTGAAAACATAGTAAATAAGGGCACTGTCAGGATATATTGATTTAAAAAAAATAATAAATTGACACTTGTCAATAAATAAACTGGCCAGTTGTTGATATCTTTATGCATGAGTTTTAAGGTGTCACAGTTTTTTTGAAGAAATGTGCAAAAAGAAAAGTCTATTTCCAAAAAGTGAAAAAGAATAAGTCAAAATTGGTGTGTGCCAGTTCTCTGACAGTGTCCTTTAATTGTGTACATTAATATTTCATGTTTCTGGTTACTCCAAAAAACTGTTTAGGTCTTCTTGCCTTTTTAACATTGTGGTGATTTTAATGTATCTGTGTGATAGAGAAGTCATTTTCCTCTGTGGCTGGGTAGCTGAAGAATATTTTTGCAAAGATATCTCAGCTTATCCAGTATCATTACTCTCTATCAATTTGCTCCCACTTTCAAACCTTTTAGTATAAGATCAATATAAAAATGCTATCATGGATCTGATCCCTATTTTATTGATATAAATGGGAATCTGTCCATTCATTTTAATAGAAGTAGCAACTTATGAAAATAATTATTACTGTAAATTGCACAAGGCTTCATTTTATATAATACATATTGAAAAAATCAAATGGAATGACTGACTGCACAGTTGTTTAATCACTAAGCTTAAAAGGACAAGTTTAATATTTGGCTGATGTAATTCGTCTAATAGTTCAGATGAATTCTGTCTAGCAGGGTATAAAAGGAAAAACTGCTGCACCCATTGTCATGAAGACCTTTTTGCACTCCTGTGGAGTTAAACTGGATAGCAGGAAATATGTTTAATAAAATGGTTTCCATTTGAAATTTATGTGTTTTACATTAGTTTCCTTTAGAAACATCTCAATGTATGTAACCATTTGTTTGTGAATAACATCCATATACCCTGTGTCGAAGATTTGCATGAATTATGTCATATGAAGTATAATTTTCATAAGTGTCTGAATAAGATTGCAGGATCATTTTATGTATTTCACTTGTATTTACTTCTCAACAGGAATCCACAGAAAGTTCCAATACAACCATAGAAGATGAAGATGTAAAAGGTATGATTAAAGCTGAAACAGGACACATTTTGTTTATGAGCATACACCTTGTTTGGTCCTACTAACTTCTGTTAACCATGAGGTAGAGGAATTCTTAATTAAACTGAGGAGGAGATTATATTATTTTTTAGATCATCTTTGTTCCTTAAGTTCTGTAGGTTTAGTTCTGATTTTAGTAGTCTGATATTTCTTTGTACACCTTTGTTAAAATCAGTTTGAAATTAAGGAAAGGAAGAAACTAGCTTGTTTGAAATTATAGTTATGGAAGTTGTATGTATAGGTTAAAGTTCAATGGCATTAAAGATTATTAGGTTGTATTTTTATGGTGTAGTGTTTTTAAATTTTAGTTTCCATTCCTTTGTCTTTGGAGCAGTTATTCTCAACCTTTTTAGACTCCAACACCCCTCTTTAGACTCTGAGCACTTGCCAGAAAAAGCCAGATTTGAGCTTTCCCTAATTTTTTGACTATGGAAAAATAATAGACCAATTCTTCTATTGCAGAGAATTTGAAAAGGCCACAACAGGTCAGAAGGTTTTTGACTCTGTTGATTCCCATTTGAAATCTCTGTGCTTACCTTGTGAATCATGTGTAGATGTTTGCACACCTAACACTACTAAAATAGCCCAGCACCCTGTGGCACAAAGGATCTGAGGGCAGCCTAGGGTGCCACGGCACCATGGTTGAGACTCACTGCTTTAGAGCGTTTTTCAAATCACTATTTTTAAAATTCTGTTCAGATGCCAGGGTGGGGTTTGTTTTTTGGGGGTGGGGGTTGTGTGTGTGTGTGTGTGTCTCTTACGTGTTCTGGCCGTATAATTGTCCTCTTATTTCTTTTTACCTTTATCGTTTTCTTCATTTCTTAAAAAAATCTGCTCACTCACCTTAATTTTTCAGGCTTTGTCTATTTTTCTTTTTCTTTCCATGTTGTGATGCTGTTCATTCTTAGGTTATTAACATTTAGTGATTCAAAAACTGAAATTGTCAGCTTTTGTATCACTTGTTTCACACAAGACTTTGTAACCCAGACTTAAAATGTTGTTGTCATAGATATGTAAATTAGAGATAGAGGTGAGAAGGGACAGGAAAAATAAAGGACTAGATTAAGTAAAAACAGAAGACTTCAGAAAAGTAACCATCACCTATCAGCAGTGTAAAAATGTGGCCAGACACCCTAGGAAGCTGCCGTGATTCAGGGTCAGTGGCGACTTCTGGTTGTTACTCCCACTACAATCACAATGTCATGGCTGTAGCAAAAACTGTTATTTCACCAACCTATCCCTATTGGCACCTGGGACAGTTGCTCTGTCACCCTGCCCTAGTTACACTATTGCCACATGTGGAGTTGCCATAATTAAAGTGCTTATTAGCAGAGATATTTAGTAAAATCATAGAATCATGGGGCTGGAAGGGACCCTGAAGGATCATCGGGTCCAGCCCCCTGCATGAGCAGAAAAGACATTTGGGGTCAAGTGACCCCAGCTAGGTAACCATCCAGTCTTCTCTTGAAGACCTCTAGGGTAGATGATTGCACTACCTCTGTGGGGAGCTTGTTCCATAGTCTGAACACCCTAGTTGTGAAGAAGTTTTTCCTAATGTTCAGCCTGAAACTATCTTCCAGGAGTTTGTGGCTGTTGTTTCTATTTTTCCCCCAGGGCACCCTGGTGAACAGTTGTTCACCAAGCCCCTGATGTATGCCTCTGATGTAACGGTAAGCCGCAATCAGGTCCCCTCTCAGCCTACTTTTCTTTAGGCTGAAGAGCCTGAGATCCCTCAGCCTTTCCTTGTATGGCTTGCCATGCAAGTCCCTGATCATATGGGAGGCCCATCTCTGGACCCTCTCGAGCTTTAACGTGTCCATGTTGACGTGCAGTGCCCAGAACTGGACACAATACTCCAGCTATGGCTGCACCAGTGTTGAGTAAAGTGGTAGAATCACTTCTTTGGATTTACTGGAGATGCATTGATTGGTACATGCCAGAGTTTTATTGGCCCTAAAGGCTACTGCGTCGCATTGCCAGCTCATATTCATGCTGGGGTCTATTGTTACCACCAGATCCCTTTCATTTGTAGTGCTGGTCAGGTTAGTGATGCCCAGCCTCTGGTGCGCTGGGGGTTCTTCCTTCCCAGATGTAGCACTTTGCATTTCTCTATGTTGAACCTCATCTGATTCCATTCTGCCCAACATGCCAGACTGTCTAGGTCTGCTTGTATCTGCAGCCTATCTGCAGGTGTGTCCACACAACCCCATATCTTGGTGTCATCTGCGAACTTGGCCAGTGGGCTTTTCACCCGCTCATCCAGATCATTGATGAAGATATTGAACAGCACTGGGACAAGTACCAATACCTGGGGTACGCTGCTGCCCACATCTCGCCAGGACGACACCAATCCATTCATTAGGACTCTGCATTCTACCCTTCAACCAGTTTCACACCCGCTTAATGGTCCTGCAGTTCAGCCCTATATCTTCCAGTTTTCTGATCAGTACTTCATGGGATACCAGGTCAAAGGTTTTCTGGAAGTCGAGATATATGATGTCAACCGCTTTTCTCTCATCCAGGTAATGAGTCACCTGATCATAGAAAGAAATGAGGTTGGTCAGATAAGACGTGCCCGCGATGAAGCCATGCTGGCTGTCATTCAGCATCATGCCTTCTACAAGTTTGTCACATATAGCCTCTTTGATGAATGTTTCTAGGATTTTCCCTGGAGTAGAAATTAAGCTAATTCGTCTGTAGTTTCCCAGGTCTTCACGCTTCCCCTTCTTGAAGATGGGCAGAACACTGGCCCTCATCCAGTCTTCTGGGATTTCTCCGGAGGCCCATGATTTTTTTAAGACCCTTGCCAGGGGCTGTGTCATTACTTTGGCAAACTCTTGCAGCACTCCTGGATGGAGTTCATCTGGTCTTGCTGATTTATATACGTCTAATTTCTTTAATTGATCGTGCACCAGTTCTATGGCAATGGTAGGAATGGTGTCAGTCCTGCCCTGCTTGTTCTGTGCCCTACCTGGCATGTTGTTCCCATTGGTCTTGTGAAAGACTGAGGCAAAGTAGTCATTTAGGAGTTCGTTTTTTTGCTGAGTGGTAGTGACCAGATATCCTGAGGCACTGAGCGGCGGCCCCACGCTCCCAATAGTTTTACTTTTACTCCCTATGTAGCTAAAGAACAAATTCTTGTCCTTGATTCTTGTAGCTAGTTTTAGTTTGGTTTATGCCTTAGCTTGCCTAATCTGGTTTGTACAAGTGTGGGCCATTGTCAAGTAGTCTTCCTTAGAAGCTGTCCCAAGCTTCCATTGTTTTTACTCCTCTTTCTTTTTCTGTAGGAGGGCTGCAACTTCCCTGCCTAGCCAAGAGAGTTTTTTGACCCTTCTGCTACTTTTTCTCTGTAAGGGAATGGATTTTCTCTGAGCCTTAAGGATTGTATCCTTAAGGAACGACCGTTCTTCTTGTGCTCCCTTTACCTGTGGTCCTTGGTCTCTCAGGGCATTCGCTACTAGTGACCTGAACTTATTAAAATTTGCATTTTTTAAGTCTAAGACTTCAATCTTGGTCTTTGTTTTGTCAGCTTTGTGATGGACCGTGAACGTAATGATTTCATGGTCACTATCGCCTAAGCTGCCCTCTATGTTTAAGTTGGTCACCAGGTCATCCCCTTTGGCCAGGACCAGGTCAAGAACTGCACTGCCTCTAGTTGGTCTGTGCACCTCCTGAGTCTAAAAAAGCTCTTCAGTGCTGGTCAGGAAGGATCGTGATTAATCCAAGCTGGCTGAGCACTCCTCCCAGGAAATGTCTTGGTAGTTGAAGTCACTCATGACAACCATGTTCCGTGCATGCGCGGCCTCCGTTAGTTCACGAGTGAACGCTAGATCAAGTTCCTCCCCTTGGTTAGACGGCCTGTAGTATATACCTACAGTCAGGTCTCTTTTGCTGTTTCTCCCCTGGAGCTTGACCCAGAGGGTTTCAAGCTGTTCTTCTTTGGGGCTGACATCGGCCTGTAGGGAGGTGTACTGCTCCTTCACATAGAGGACAACACTCCCACCTCTCTTCTCTACCCGATCTCTTCTGTGAAGGACGTAGTCCTTTATGGCTACACTCCAGTTATTAGAGGAGTCCCACCAGGTCTCCATGATCCCCACTAGATCATAGCACCCAGTGGAAAGCAGCTCCTCCTGCTTGTTCCCCATGCTTCTGGCATTGGTGTACAGGCACCTAAGTCATTCTACTGAGGTCACTGGCCACCTGTCGCATTGAAGGGGAGCTGTTTTCTCAGCCCCCGTAAGAGTGGCTTGCTTGGTTTCATTGTCATTGAAGCTTTCCTGTATATTGGTCCCCAGGTAGGCTCCAGTTTGCTTTTCCCCATCCCCCTGCAATCTTAGTTTAAAGCCCTATCTAAGAGATTGGCCAAATATAGACTTACAGTTGATGGAAGTTTTCAGTAGCTTCAAAACTATGAGATGACCTTTTAGAATAATAAACAATGCACTATCCTTATTGGATAAAGTAGTGATGGAGCCAAAGTAAAGAGTTGAGGATTTACCAGCATATAATAAGCATAGATGTAAAAAGGGAATATGTGGTAGGGTGGATTCTGTAGTGGATCATACTACTGTTTATGATCTGGATTTCAAAAGTAATCCAGTGGCTTTTCACGTGCCATCTGCCTTAAAGAGTTGTTTTGTTTACTTAAGAATTTTGCCATTTACACAGCTTCTAAGGGCGTGTAGCTTCTGATTTCACTTTCACTGTGTGTGCTATCAAATCTTATTCCACAGTTCACAATGCTCTTCTTCTGTCAAGAACTATTTTGTAGTGTTTGGTATATTATCACTTCAGCAAAGTCAATATCAAACAGATAAAAATACTTACATAATTTCCATGGAAGAACTTACTAAGAGATGAAACTTGACCAGTGCAATTTGAAACATTGTGAAATTAACCTGATAAAATATGTGATACTAACATCTCCACAGACCCTAAGGATCAGAATAGGGCAATAA